TGCAGGTTTACAACGCCATTTGGAAGGTACACACTAACAAAAACATAACAGCAGGGCTCCCAGCGATTCAGTTGTAATTATGTGGGCTTACAACACTAAAAATTGGGTTTCGATACCCGTAGTTTACACAGTATAGATAGCGCATTGTGTAGCTTTGTGCCTTAACCACAAACACAACAGCAAAGCAATATTGTGGCGCCATCTGCTGAATACTGTATAAAATAATATATCTGTATTCTGAATATATAGTATAAATGTATTCGAAGGAGAATAATAAAAACAAAAACTCGTGATTTAAATAATATTAAACAGTTTTGTCCACTCTATTTTGAAAAAAAAACATTTGTATAATATTGTAAAAATTTAATAAATGAAGCTGATACGATGTAAAATTACATTTACTAAATGTGATTAATGGTTAAACAAGTTGTGTTAGATGGTTTGATATTAGGAAGAAAAGAAAGAAAACGTGATATTTGTCACGTCTCGTAAAGCGTGTTTAGAAAAACAAAGAGATAGAACATAATTACATAAAACGTAGTTCTTATAAATGATGTGCAAAAGGTATTGAATGACAATTGTACACAATTTGCTTTGGTAAACTCTCAATGTCTACTCATATCTATAGGCTTTACATCTAAGCAGACGAGCTCGATTCGAGTGTATTTTACATATCACGTTAAGCAAGGGTCTGACGTAGAATATCAAAGTTAGTTACCAGCTTCCTGTTATTGACAACCCGTCAAAGTCTCTATCTGACTTCCGTAATTGGTTTGGAGCTGTTGATCCTGAAGCTGCCTAAAACTTGTCCTGTCTGTCTACCTGTGGGTGACATGAGAATGACGTTCTTGCCGAAGAAATAAAATAAAAAAAAATCTGATTTCAACTCAGATCTAACCCAAAGCTCACGAACGTTATCGCTGCAGTGCTCAAAGCAAGGAGTTTTCAGTAAGTCGAAGAACCTTTTGGTGTTGTATGTAGGAAAAAAGTGCTGAAACTAGGGAAAAAAACTTCACAAAATATATAGATATACGTCCGAATGCTAGTATACTTCAATGTCTCTTTCGTATTTGAAAATGCGTTTTATCACTGAAACATGTAAGTTACTTAACCTAATCTCGAAATCAAATAAAAGTATTTAAATACAAAATGTGATAAATCCTCTCATTACATACTTTCAGATAGATAGTAGAAAAAAAAAGAGGTTTTAGGAGTTGGAAGATACACATTAAAGAAAATTGATTAACAAAGATCCTTGGAGCTTGGAGTAACACGAGCAACTGCTGAACGGACAGAAAAACTTCAGACCCTGGTGTTAAACGTAAGAAAGATAAAAAAAAATCTCCACCAGAGTAAAACCTCTTGGTCTGTACTTTACGATGAGAACAGCAATATTTTTATGTCCTGTTTTGAATCAATCATTGTGAGTTTCACTGTAGAAGTTGTGATGGTATTCAAAAGCTGGTGGAACTTGTTATATTAGTCAAAGTTTCACTGTACCTTGTGATGGTATTCAAAAGCTGGTGGAACTTGTTATATTAGTCAAAGTTTCACTGTACCGAAGTAGTGATGGTATTAAAAAGCTGGTGGAACTTGTTATATTAGTCAAAGTTTCACTGTACCGAAGTAGTGATGGTATTAAAAAGCTGGTGGAACTTGTTATATTAATCAAAAAAGAGCTTTTACTCCTCATCCTTTTTTTTTGTTTATTTGTTTTGTATCTTAGGATAATTGAATCGTTCCACTTCTTCATAGAATTTAAGAATAAAATACACAGAAGAAAGTGAGAGTTTTTAAAATCTTTGCTCATGAATCGATTATTAGGTTTGGAAAATTTAAATATATGTCAAATTGTCCATTTTTTATTGTTTGTCTCTTTGTTTTCAGTCGATCGTCCCCTCTATATATCCTGAATCTCTACAGCTCCTTATTCTCTACATCTTCTGACTCTCTACATCTCCTGATTCTCTACAGCTCCTGGATCCATACATCTCCTGAATCTCTACAGCTCCTGGATCCATACATATCCTGAATCTTTACAGCTCCTGGATTCATACATCTCCTGAATCTCTACAGCTCCTGGATCCATAGATTTTCTGAATCTCTACAGCTCCTGGATCCATACATATCCTGAATCTTTACAGCTCCTGGATTCATACATCTCCTGAATCTCTACAGCTCCTGGATCCATAGATTTTCTGAATCTCTACAGCGCCTGGATTCATACATCTCCTGAATCTTTACAGCTCCTGGATCCATAGATTTTCTGAATCTCTACAGCGCCTGGATTCATACATCTCCTGAATCTTTACAGCTCCTGGATCC